TAGCCACCCTGTGGTGCATTCACAATGAGCATCCAGAAAGGTTATGACCTAGAAACATGTAGAGAAAATATTAGACACACCATATGGACAACAGGTCGCTGGGTAGTGGATGTCTCGTATGTGCATGTGCGAGCACATGCATGTGCGCACACACACTCACCTGGCCAGTGGAGATGGATGCTCCCTTGAGACGAGCACGAATAAGTCCAGACCGCTGCTCCATCCTCACCACTCTGACAGGGACTTCGAGCCTTCTGACATACTGCTCCAGCGGCCGCTTTAGGAAATCTTAAACATACAGATAAACACGTATATGTAATTAAAGAATCAAACACATGCAAGCCCACACACAAGACCGACAAACACGCATACTCACAGAGGAAGTTGGATTATGAGTTACTCCTCCAAACTATTCCTGTAGCAACAGCAACCAAAGCAAGCATGTGCTTGTGTTTTTGCTTGGGAATGCACCTTAGCATGCCTGCCGACATCCCTTATACCTGCAGAGAGCTCCCCACCCCACACACACATACACCCTCTGTACCAACCAAAATAAATCCCATAGGGTGAAATGGTGCTGTGTGGTGGCGGCTGGCGGGAGATTGGGGGTAATAACAGAGTGTAATCCCTGCGGCTGGTGAATTAAAGGCCTAATCTCCCCCAAACAGGGATTAGCAGCATTGCACAGGGTGGAGTGGCACACACAGCCCATTTATGCTGACTGGCTGTTGGGCACCAGCGCAGACACACACACACACGCACAAACACAGCTACGCATAAACACACACAAAAAAAACGGCAAATATCATACAGTAGCTCTAAAAAAATAGGCTAAGCCTCAAAAAAGAGGCACAACCACCGAAGGAATTATCTGCAGTGTGTGTGTACCTCTCTCACTGGCATCGTCCACCAGGACAATCTCCTCCAGCAGTGTGTGTGGAGAGCGGTCGATGACCGAGTGGACGGTTCGCAGCAGCGTGCTCCACGCCTCATTGTGAAATACAATCACCACGCTGGTACGGGGAAGATTATCAGGGTATAACTTGTTCTTGCACCTACAAAGAGAAAACAAAACAATCAGAATACAATCTTTAATAGCAAAAAATGCTTTCAATGATAGAAAGATACTTAATGCAACTATGCATATGGACAAAGATTGACTGTCAAAATGACAAATAAATCACATCATTTTTTAAATCACATGGTACAGCAAGAGGAAGTGAATGAATTAAATGGTTACACAAAGACAACTCCATGTGCAATAAGTGAAGCTGAAGGCTTTGAACAAAACTAAACTGACAGAGACAGAGCGAGAAAAACTCTAGTAGAGACATCAAAATCCAGCCTCTGTCTGATTGTAAGAGACTGCTTCAGAGGAAGAGAGAGAGCGAGCGTTGCAGCTAAAGTAAGTCTACACGAGAGGGAGCAGGGACTTGAACATTAACCAAACGGCATTAGTCAGTCATGGAATCGTTACATAAATCAGAGGAGCTATCGTGAAAAATAATATTTTTATCAACTTCAAACAAAGACAACTGTGAGAGTGAATGATGAGCGAGCAGCGTATTCAAGCGTATTCCCCAAATTTAGACAGACGCACAGAAATAGTGGGTCAGCATGATGACAGTTCATTAGCGATGCTAATTAAGAGTGTGAGTCATTATCATAGCAGTGAAGAACACACACACACACACACACACACACACACACACACACACACACACACACACACACACACACACACACACACACACACACACATCACACCCTCTTATTGAGAGACACAAAGGGATGTAAATGTCTAACAGAGGAGAGCAGGCATGAGCAGGAGACGAGAGAAGATGGAAGGAAGTTAAGACTATGTCACAGACTTAAATAATGTAGTCCTCCGCAATATTCCCAGAGAAATACTCACTGTTTTAAATTATTGTACTGGTGAGTTTGCATCATTTAGGCCATTAAGTTCAAAAGTTGTGAGGCTTACATTACAACACAGCACTCCACAAAGCACAGTTATGGTTTTAAGGTTGATTTTCTACCTTCCAGGCCAGCCATCAATTAAGGTTAATCTGATTTTAGTATGAAAATCAGCTTGCAGAGATTTTAAATTTGCTTGATGTAGCTAGTCCAATATAGTGAGCCTTACTGCAGTTGCATTTAATTGATCAAAAGAAGTTCTATCAATGTCTTCTGGCAATACAGCACGCATTCCCATCTGGTTGTTTACCTATAAATGGATTCTCAAGCGCATTTCCAGAAAATATTCCGCTGTTTTTTCTAATTTATCCCTTTCATAATACATCATATACTGTAACATAAGATTGCTTCCATATCGCCCATCCCTAGCTTGAAGCTTGTAAACACTTTTATTACATTGGCCAACAAAATCAGTTTTGGGATTGCAAGAAAGACAATCTTTCAATTTGCGGGTTCCTACATAACAGTGATTGATGACATCTTAGGCAGTTTTCATTTTAGTGTTTCAGAATACCACACATTCACACACTGCACTGTGACGTTCATGTGTAAAAAATATTCCTAAATAGTCACAACTGTTACAAAGACAGTATAGTGCTGTCTAGCCAAAGCTTTACATAAGTCTGTCACATCATATCCACCTTTTTCAAAGCCAAGTCTTTCATAATCATCTAACCACCCAAAATTAACAGTACATTTTCTAGGAAACAGCTTTGAGAGCATGATCTCATCATTACATTTAGCTGACACTTTTACCCAAAGCAACTCACAATTGCTATACATGTCAGAGGTTACACACCTCTGAGCAACTAGAGGTTAAGTGTCTTCTCAGGGATACATGTGTCACAGTGGGGAAGTGAACCTGGGTCTCTCACACCAAAGACATGTGCCATATCCACTGCTCCATCAGCACCTCAAAATCACTGGGAATAATACACATATTAAAGGTGGATTGATTTGCACAACAGATGGAGGAAAATATGGACAAATCAATGTTAAGTGCTACTCTCCAGTAAAAAAATAAGCAGTTTAATACAGTTTAATTAAAGAACACTCTAAGACAAGAAACACTGCAGCCTGCCATGATACCTGCATGAATGCTATCTGACATTAAGTGTTTTTCTCCAAAGACGCTAAGCAAGCTGCTCAAGCTGTCATCTACTGACCACAAAACTGAAACCAGCTTGCGACTTCCTTCCTCTGACAGATTCAGCCCTCACAAAAGCCAAATGGAATATAATCTCCCTCCCTCCATATTCATAAATCCCTCCCTCCTTGTGATCATCCAGAGGACTGGAATGCTTCCTCTCTCTCTGCCTGTTGCCGATTCTGACAGAAAGAACATAACACCGACGGAGGAGAGGAGGTCAAGAATATACTCCATCCTGCAGCTGCCTCTGGAGCATGTTAAATAGCACACACACAGTGATTCTTTGTGTGTGCTCATACTCTCTCTGCAAGGGAGGGAGGTTTATGAGCACACAAGATGACTCCCTGTAAAAACAGAGACACCCTTGGAGCCTTTCAACTTTTATACACGGTTCATTATTTGACTCTTCTCTGTTTCACAAACAGAATAACCCAGATTTCTCCCCTTTTCAGACACGATCTGTGCAGCTGATGGAAAACAAGAGCTCTGTGTGCCCATCAAACTGACAAGTGTTGACACTCGTTGGCAAGCTCATGTCTGTGAGTCACATGATGTGGATTTTTAAAACTTGAGGAGTGGTTGTGAGTCCGGAGTATCCAAACAGTCATGGTGCTGGAGCAACATTCTGGCAACAGCAAAGCAGGGTAATGAGTTACAGGCTGTTTCTCCAGCCAGTGCATTGTGGAGATAGCTGGGATGGGCGGACAGACTGGTTCTGATTAAGCGGCATCACTCTTGCAACATTAAACTCGCACGCACTCAAACACATACATCTATGTATGCATACTCATAAAGACGATGCAGTCAGGGTCTAAAAAAAAAAACGAGAAAATGTCAAGTTTTCTGAAAAGGCGTGGTCATGGAAAGTGTTTTCATATACTGTAGATCCACCCAACTACATGTACACACACATACAAACACAGTTTATATAGCACCAATTCACAACATAAGTTATGTCATTGCAGGTCTAGACTGCTCTCTTTGTAATATTATTTACAGAGATTTACAATTCCCACCATGAGCAAGCACTTGGCAAGGAAAAACTCTGCAAAAAACTCTAATGTCAAAAACTCAAAATAACCTGTCCTCTCCTATTTTTTTTTATGTATATATTTTTGGAACAATCAACGACTGCACTGCTGACAGTAATGAAAATAAACCATCAGTGAGTTTCCGCTTCAAAGTTTCAGCTAATGGCAACCTGCTTGGCTAAGATGAATTCATTCAGTTTCCCTAAACCTGCCAATCCCCCCACCCCACCCCACCCCCACCACACACACACACACTAAACACAAACGTACGTGTGTCTACACACACACACACACAAACAGACACATTGCCTTGCTCGATATTGACTCATGCTTATCTCCTAATTGGAAAAGCAGATAGACGGAGAGAAGGCTGAGTGAAAACACACCTAGTAATCAACTCTCGCTCAAAGACTAAAACCCATTTCACGGATCAATGTCCTCTTTCTTTCCTGCCTGTCTAGTGTGCATGTGCTCCTGCCTGTCAGTCTTGTGTCTGTCAGTCAGCCTTTCTGTCCATCTCTCTGAAAACCTTCATCACGTATGCATGTTCCTCTACTGAAGCCCAAAAATGGGGCAAAGGGGGATGGGAGGGTCAAGCTGGTTTCCACCTGCTTGAACTAACCTTGACATATCTTCCAGGCTGCTGGTTGGGTGCACGCCTGTCTGCACTGCCTCTCTCTGCCTGTCTGAAGACTGAACAACCTGCAGCCGCTGGCACTGACAAGACACTTACATAACACTAAACTCCTCATTATAAAGAAGAAGGACTTGTGAATTGCACATGTAACCAAGTATTCCTGAAGCAAAACAAAAAAGGGGAAGAAAAAAGCATCGTCTTTTTTAATCATTATCCTTAGAAATGGAGTTTACTTTTATTTGATCTTCATTTTCTTTACATTTTAGTAAAACTCCAAAAATATTGTATCATTACTTCCTTAATGTGATGTATTTCCTAAAAAGGGTCAATGTTTAGGGTGAAGCAATGGGCTTTTAGTTGTGAGGAGAAACACAGAGGGAGAAATTATACATTATTATATTATTATTGCTTTTTAGCGCTGGATCAGTATGTGTTCACACTAGCTTTTTAAAAATGAACCAAAAAACAAGTCATACAGACAGACAGGTAACTCATTCACTGGAGCTTGCAGTTTTTTCCTCACTGTCATCCTGCGTCATCAGTGCTACACGGAGGCACATGGGGAAATCTAAATCCAGGGACTGACAGCAGGTTATGCTGTACTTTAATATTTGATTGTTAATCTATGTTGTCTGTTGTCACAAAGAAATAACTATTAGTATTAATAGATTGCAAATCGACTAAATGTTATGAATGAAAAGGTGGGAAAAGGACATCCCTAAAAGGACAAAAAAATGTGCGTCTTGTGCAGCAATATTACGGAGGGGGATCACTAGGGAATTGCTATGTCACAACCGTCACAACGGAGTTAATAGACTGTTCAAGTACAAATAGGACACAAGCACAACACCCCACAGTTTAACTGCTTTTTACTGTCTGATAGATGAGGGAAAATCCCTGCACTCACATGTTACAAATGTTGCCAAATGATTTACATTTATAAATACAGAGTATCCCCCTTTTACAGATCGCTAGGCCAGTCACAATAATTATGTTAGACTAAGCGTATCATGGCGGCACGGTGGTACAGTGGTTAGCAAGGTTGTGGGTTCAAACCCCGGTTTCCCCAGCCTTGATTGATGACCCTAAATTGTCCTTAGGCGTGAGTGGTTGTTTGTCTATGTGATGGACTGGCGACCTGTGTACCCGCCTTGCGCCCGATGTCAGCTGGGATTGGCTCCAGCCCCCCCGCGACCCTGTACGCAGGATAAGCGGCTGACGATGGATGGATGATCGTACCATATATAGACATGACCTTGATAATTTTTGCTGACCTTGATATTGCCCGTTGAACCTCTCAGCGACTTTATTTCAAAAAAAAAAAAACTTGTTCAGACTGAAAAGGAGTAGGGATGGGCAGTATATCAGTATAATGAGGTATACTATACTGTACTATAAAATCAGATAATACCGTTTATACCGATATAGTTTGATGTTGAGTTAATTAATAGCCTATGTTTCGTAAATGGAGAAAGTTACCGGAGCAGATACAGGGACAGATGGAAAGAAGAGGGGCACATTTACATGTTTGCAGCAGAGGTACGTTAGGTACGTCATTGATCTACCAAAATCTATTTGAATTAAAATTATTTAAACGCTTATCACAGCAAATATCGATATGTGTAATTAATTTTGATTCATTCTATTAATTAATCACAAAACTACAAACAAGTTACAAAACTTTTAATTAATTTGATACATTTTTTTAATCGCTTGACAGCCCTATTTATTATATGTCTGTGTCTTATTATTATTAATAAGGTCAAACTTCAATTAAAATCTGACTAACTATCAGTGCATAAATTAAAAATAAATAACGTGCATTAACAAATGCTGCTGGCACACATGATGTCTTTATCTTTGTATATTTTACTTTGCTGGTTCGTCCTTTTAAACCATAAATGAACCACAGCACAGTTTAATGGTAGTGTACGGCGACCTCCCTTTTCAGGAAGCCTCAGTGTGGTTGTTAAGTACACTGACAGCTTTCAGACCACCCAAATAAATTGCACCAAATGGTAAACACACCAGAGAAAGCTTAAACTGCTGTGCAAGCGGTCTAAAACTCGGCAGATTTTTGAGTGTTCTGTCCATGGACTGTATTATTCCAAAATGCACAGTACAATGGAAATGGGGAACTCCTCAAAGCTGGAAAATAATCGAATGAATTGTAGATGATCAAAAAACAGTTTTGTGAGCACCCCAGAAAACTAAAGACTAATATTCTAATGACTATGTATAATTTCCTGTTAGTATAAAATGTTTAGATATATAGATTTTTGTGGTGTACTAACTACAGGACAGTATTTGAAGACAGGTTTAAGTACATGCTGTATATGTATCAGTATATATACCTCCGGGGAGCCAGCCAGCCAGCCAGCCAGTCACGCTCACAGTCCCATCTGGCGCAAGAGTCAGGGACAAGACAGATGATTAGATATGGGGAGGCTACTCACCCTTCCAGGCGGACGTCAGGCAGAGACCGATTGAGAGCAATCATCTCAGAGGCCATGAGGTTGAACTGGTTGATCTTAAACATCTCCTTCATCTTCTCCTGGTTCTCCTTAGGGATGACCACAGGCTTCCCCCCTTCACCAGGCCCATCCCGCGGCCTGACCAGGGCATCTGCAGTAGATAAACACACACACACACACATAAAACACACACAGAGGATGCTGGAGGATGCAAGAGTGTGTCTCTGTAATCACATCTATACGCATGGCTATATACACCAGAGAGGTTTTTATAAAGGAGACACGCCACTAAAATTCCTCAATACAACTCTAAAGGGAAAGCCTGTAACGCCAAATATGGCGGTTTTCCTGCCATTTTTATCAGCTGAGGCGGGAAAAATTATTATTATTACTATTGTTCCACTGACGTAAGGGTCTACTTCGCATGGGTCACTACTACCACGCATGCGTAGTAGAAGTATATATGGTGGGGAAAATGCTTTTTAAACCTTATTTTTGGGGCGGAGTTAGCAAACTTTTTCAAAGATTTTTATCAGATTTTACTGCTGATTCTATACAAACAGTTTTCGGTGACCAGTGAAAGTGCAGTAATAGTTCTCTCCCCATTCATTCAGATAGGGGCCTTGTCTTGTTAGTCCAAAATAACCACCTGGTGTTACCAAGATAACTGCCAAATGGCAGGACTTGACTATAAGGACTTTGTATACACTCACCGTTTCCCCCAGGCAGTCCTGTCTCCTTTTTGTTGTCACACTTGTTGCACTCGCTGAAGTAGAGCAGAATGAACATGTCCAGCATCACCCACACCAGAGAGGTGGCCAAAACCACCTTACAGTAGGCGAACCTCCTCATCCTAAAAATGTAATGAGAGAAAGAGAGAGGAAGAGAGTTGGCGAACTGATGGCGAGTCCTGAGCTGCACACACAACACAGGCTTTTCCAAAGCTCTGCAGAGGAGATCACTCTATATGTCTTTTCATATCTGCCTTCCTTTCTCCTCACTCCCCTCAACCTCCACCCTTCCCACAGCTCTGCGCCTCAGTATCTTCTCAATGCCTCCATTTGTCCTTCCGCCTGTCTGTCTGTCTGTCTGTCTCTCTCTCTCTCGGCTCTTATCGGTCGGCTGTTTATCAGCACCTCTCCGACGGTCACCTTCACACTCAGAGAGAGCCTCAAAAAGAGCACTGTGCATTGTTGGATTTCTGTCTTACATCACACCAGAAGAAAAATTGTAAATCTATGAGGGCATTAAGTTAAGTTTATTGGTTAGGTTAGTGTCTGGCACCATTATAAGCACAGTGAACATTTACATTTGTGTTTTGGAGAGGACGTTTCATGGTATCTAAGCAATGCTTTAGCTGCTTTCAAGTTTCAAGTGGAAACTACTAGATACAGACATCTTCTGTATCAGAGTTCCCAAATACCCTGCGGTGTACAAGCCAATCTACCCTTTATACATTTAACATACCAAATCCCAGTGTGCTAGAGTGCAGTCAAACACACACACTCACAGGTAAGCACACACACACACACACACACACACACAGAGCAGAGAGAGAGAGAGGAGCTGTGATAGTAATTGCTTTTCTTTGGCAGCCAGCGAGAGACAGACACAGCCACATTAAAATTCCTCTCCCCTTTCCTTCTCTCCTCTAGCACCATCTCTCTCCTCTCTTTGGCTGATTCTCTGCATCAGTGATCCCTCAGGTTGCAGCAGTGCAAGAAGAAGGGAGAAAATTAATTTGGCCACAGTGATTTCTCTCGTGCCCCGGGGAGGAGAGAAAAAAATAAAAAATAAAAAATAAAGGTGTTTGTGCATAACTAGCTTAGCTTAGCTTAGCTCTGCTTAGCAGCCACGGAGGATGGAGAACTGCAGAGCAGCATTTCTAAATTCCACCTGATAGGATTCTGGTACTACAAAGTGCCATGCACATCAGAAAAAAAACAGTGAAGATCAGTCTGTTCTCTCAAAGTTTGTCTGTTCTCAGTCTTCTTGCCTGTGGAGCAAAAATCATATGTACTCTGCAGTGCAGCATAAAATCCACATCAACATGTATGTTCCTTAAGGGCAGAAATATGAAACAAACTAGGAAAACATAATACCGAATTGGGCCCTACTACAAATCCTCCTTTCCTTCTTCTCTCCTGTGCTAAATGACATACTTATTGCACATATTTGTCAGCTATGTCTAAACAGTGAGCGAGAGCTGCAACAAATAGGCCATGCCAACTGCTGCAGTTTGATAAAAAACCTAATTATGCTTCTCAGAGGCAAAGCTGACCTCGATTGGAGACTTTAATGTCATTGCTCTCGTCAAGCTTGTCATGCGATTCACAGGGGTTTTGTAACCTTGCAAGATTTTATCTCTCATGTTGAAAAAGAGAAACTGGTGCAGAGAAGCCACCAGCAGATAAATGCAATGCTTTGATTGCTAGTCCCCCGAGAGGAAAGTAATTTAACAAAGTCAATTCAACTACAGCAACAAGGGTTTTGACAAGGTTAATGATAGTGCATCATGTTGCATCCGTGTAAACTGGCACTCGGTCAGCTGCAGATTGAATCAAATAAAAAATGTGACCCTCGTAGTGGCCTGGCGTCATGTCAGATTGTTAGGCCTTTTTAACTTTATCAGCATTTAGCTTTCCTGTGCCTCACCTCTCGGACCTGCTGAAACACAAGATGGTTTTAACAGAAAATTATACACCTTTCTTTTTGATACACATGTTCTAATGATACACACTACACAGTATAATAAATGCGGCTTCACGATTGTACTTTTTGTTCTTATTAGCGCTGACACAATTAGTCAATAATCACTTTGATTGACAGAAAGCAAAAAGCAAAAACACATAACATTCACTGGCTCCAGCTTCTCAGTTGTGAGGATTTGCTGCTTTTCTTTGTCTTATGTGCTAGTAAACTGAATATCTGTTGGTCAGACAAAACAAGACATTTCAGGATGTCATCTTGGGCTTTGGGAAATTGTGTTGAGCAACATTTTCTGAAATTTTATAGAACAACCAATTAATGAATTAATCAAGAAAAGAATCTGAAGAATAACGGACAATAAAAAGATTTGTTAGTTTCACCACCATTGTTTACTGTATTATTTTATTCAAATTCTACTTGCAAAGCACTTTGACTTGCTGAAATCTGGTTGAGTTATAATAATTTATTAAAACAAAAATATAAAGACAAATATTAACATTTCATCAATCCTCAATTGTGAGTCATCTCCTCACAATGTAGTTCTTTATCTAATTAATAGATAAAACAAATAAATTAAAGTTAATTACATAAATACAGTAAAGGTTAGCCAGTCCTGAATAGCTAAAGGCTCGTGCAGACTACACTACTATCAGAGGCCGATCGCTGTGCTGTTCACACTACACAACGCGCTATCTTGTGGCTGGAGTCTTGAAGTGTATGAAGTTGTTGTGAGTTCACACTACGTGACTGATTGGTGACAGGGGGTCACACACTACACAAGCTGACAATGGCTGTGTCACCCAACGCTGGTCTCCAAACAACGTTTTGTCAAGAAAACACACGTGAAATGTGAAACAGGAAATGAGAAGAACCTACACATGGAACAGCTGTTTGTCATTATAAAAGATAGAAATTATAAAGACAAAGAATATGGGATGAAAGAATGGATTAGCACACGCAGGAAGCAGGGAATGTCTGAGCTACAGAGAGAGCTGGAGGTGATTGTTAAGCAGTCGTTTGATGCGTCGAGTAGTTCACACATAACGACTGGCGACCGCCGATCGATCGTTGATTTACTCCTGATCACAGCCTGACGGTCGCTGAGCTCACGGACTGGCAAATCTGGCTTAAAATCGTGTAGTGTGAACTATAGGCTTAATACACAGATTTATTTGAGGTTAAGAACCTCATATACAACAGGTGATGACTTTCACACGTCATCCTGCATGTGTGTGTGTGTGTGTTAGTGGAGGAGAGGACAATGTCTCACTAGGGTAGTGTTGTCACTTTCTTCAGTGCTATCAGCGCAGCATGTTCACACCATTGACTGTACTTATAGTTCACACACACAGGTGTTACTGCAGTAAGTGTATAGAGAGCTCATGGGTGAAGGCTGAGTAATGTAACTAATGGCCATGCTACACAGTGTGTTACTGTATCTTATTACATATACTTTCTTTGAAATATAACCTCTGTATTTTCTGTAAGACACAGTTAAAGGTTCAGTGTGTAATATTTCTGAGGATCTATTGACAGAAACGCAATATAATTCCATAACTATGTTTTCAGTGGTGTATAAAGACTTTACATAATGAACCATTATGTTTTTATTACCTTAGAATGAGCCTTTTTTATCTACATAACTGCGGGCACCCCCTTCTACGGAGGTCGCTGTATTTTGTCGTCATGTTTCTACCGTAGCCAATAACGAACAAACAGGCTACAGAGCGTGTTTCATCATCACGGCGTTCTTCTTCTGTTTGTGTAATTCCGGCAGTGTAGACACCTGTTACTACATTGAATACATACATAGAAGAAGAAGAGGGAATAATAATAATAATAATAATAGTGACATTCGGACAAATGAAGGAGCACATACATGTTATTTAGCAGGAGAGCCGACAGCCTGTGGATCTTTATACCATGAAGCCAGAGGAGTCCGGACAGATAGGCTATAAACAGCTGACCGCAGAAATCACGGTTGTTGTGGATTTTCCCAGATGGAAGACTATAATGTGGGACAGATGTTTTCAATGCGCTGCTGAAGTTGTCCGTTTTCTGCTGGACAGGTAATTAACTTAAGTTTGTCAGACTTTAGCGATGCAAATGAAAGCTGTTGTTTGACAGCTTTAGCTTGAAGCTGGTCATAATCACCCAGAGAGGTCAGGTGTTTCCCCTGTCAGTGGTGTGAAATATGTAGCTGCATTAATTTCATGCCGCCTACTTATTCTCCAGCCTGTGGGTTGGCTTTGCCGGTTACGTTAGTGAGAGCCGATCAATAACGTTAATTGGCAATAAAAACGTAACGTTAGCTTAGAGCATGGAAGCATTAGCCAGCTAAACTTTTACTGCCCGGGTAGAAAAATCATGTAAGGTTAGTTGGATTGGATTATTCTCCAGTGGCTTGTGGTGTAAAATATGTAGTTACTCTCTCTCCAGTGCACTGTTTTGGCATTGTCGGTTACGTTCCTGAGACAATCAGCTGATCACTAATTGGCAATAAAACGGCAGATCAGATCAGACAGCTAAACCTTTACCGCGCTGATTAGTGATGTGCAATACCTCGTACTATCCGATCCAATACAAAGTAATACCCAGGCTGGTATAGCCGATACCAATACTTTTTACATATTTTATTTCTAGTTTAATGTGACCTCCCCCCTCCCGTTTCTGTATTTATGAGAGAAATAAGGAGTAGGCTGAGTATCGATCCTAGAGCAGGAAACGTTGGTATCAGAAATATCGATACTGTAGGATCGATCCGCACATCACTAGGGCTGGTACAAAAAATATGTTGTTGGATTAGTTTTATGTAGTTAATCTCTCTCTCCAGAGCTCTGTTTTGGTTTTGTTACCTTTGTGAGACAATTAGCTGATCACTAATTGGCAATAAAACAGCAGCTTCCAGCATCGAAGCTCAGATCAGACAGCTGAACTTTTACTGCGCTGGTAGAAAAAATATGTTGTTGGATTAGTTTTATGTAGTTAATCTCTCTCTCCAGCGCTCTGTTATGGCTTTGTTATGTGGATAGAAATGTGCCCTTACCTTCCTGAGACAAACAGATGATGAATATTATTGGCACTAAAACAGTAACAGCAGGGAAGCTCAGATCAGCAGCTAAACTTCACATTTTACTGTCCTGG